AATTTTTTTCTAATTATTCTTTGCAAGCGGATACTTGAGTTACTGTGGAATTTGTGCTCTTCAGTTCTCAGCTAAAAGTTGCAGGAAGTGGGAAAAGTACATATGGGTATGTAGATTATACAGTTGCGTATAAATAACTTACTGGAACATTTGACCTTCTGCCCAGAAACTCTACCTGAAAACACGAGAGACTCTTCTCTTAATAAAACCACAGAACCTCTGCAAAGGTATGTCCATCCACCGTTGGAGTTGTCTTCCCTCCCTGCCTTGTGAGTAAATAGTGATGCGTGTGTAAGTCTTTTTCTTCTCTCTTAGCTTCCACCCACAAATCAGATGGTTCCAAAAAGACGACGTGGTCATACTGAAGATAAGAATAAGGAACGTAAAGGATTACAACTGTAAATATTTCAGAGATAGAGTCGTGTTCAGGTAGGTTCACGTGTGTCTTATAAAGGACACTAGAAATCACTTCTAACACGTGAGAAGACCGACCTCTCCTTCTGCAAACCTAGTGCCTGGGCGGGAGAGAAATTTTACGTGGCCGATATGGAGCTGCAGGCCAACATAGTAAGAGACGGCTGCAAATGCACGATTACAGACGAGGAACCTGTCATCACTCTCGCGAAGGAGAGAAAGGAACCTTGGGGCAGCTTACTCAAACAGAGGGTGAGTGCACATTGGCCCCGGCTGCTCTCAGCACCCCGAGCGTCACCTGTTCTCTCACTTACCGTCACCTCTTCTGTTGAACAGAATCCTAATGTGGCTTTTGATTTCGATCACTGGGAAGAACGTGAAGAAGAGGAGAGCCCCTTCCCCAAGGGTAAGATGGGGTGCACCCCTTCCTGGGGAGGGGCAGGTGCTGAACGCCACGGGGCGCACCTGATCACGCCGCTGGCTTGAGGACTGAGGCGTTGGTGGGAATCAGTCGTTAACAGGAAGCCCTTAGGAATTCGTTTCCCCCTTGTGGTCGATCTTGGTGATAAATGTTCTGGTTTGAGGAAGCATCAGCTCTTAATTATAAGCATACCTTCTTATAACACTTGTGCACATCTTCCCAGGAGAGTAATTTATTTATAAGCAGGCCAGTTTTACCTGTTCATTTCTTGCCTATTTCTTCACTATTTAGTGAAAATCTGAAATAACTTATGAAAAATAGAACTACCCTACAACCCAGCAATTGCACTACTAGGTATTTACCCAAAGGATACAAAAATACCGATTCAAAGGCTCACAGGCACCCCAGCATTTATGGCGGCATTATTAACAACAGCCAAATTATGGAAAGAGCCCAAATGTCCACTGACCGATGAATGGGTAAAAAGATGTGGTGTATATATATATACAACGGAGTATTACTTGGCAATCAAGAAGAATGAAATGTTGCCATTTGCAATAACATAGATGGAACTAGAGTGTATTGTGCTAAGCAAAATAGAGAAAGACAAATATATGATTTCACTTGTGGAATTTAAGAAACAAAACAGATGAACATAGGGAAAGGGAAGGGAAAATAAGATAAAAAGAGAGAGGGAGGCAAACCATGAAACAAATACAGAGAACAAACTGAGCGTTGATGGAAGGAGGTGGGCGGGGGGATGGGTTAAATGGGTGATGGGCATTAAAGAGGGCACTTGTTGGGATGAGCACTGGGTGTTATATGTACGTGATGAATCACTAGATTCTACTTTTTTTTTTATGTTTATTTTGAGAGAGAGAGAGTGTGAGCAGGGGAGGGGCAGAGAGAGAGGGAGACACAGAATGTGAAGCAGGCTCCAGGCTCTGAGCTGTCAGCACGGGGCTGACAGCAATGCGGGGCTTGAACTCACAAGCTGTGAGATCATGACCTGAGCCACAGTCGGACTCTGAACCCACTGAGCCACCCAGGAGCCCCGCTAGATTCTACTTTTTTTTTTTTCCCAACGTTTTTTATTTATTTTTGGGACAGAGAGAGACAGAGCATGAACGGGGGAGGGGCAGAGAGAGGAGACCTGATCGAAACAGGCTCCAGGCTCTGAGCCATCAGCCCAGAGCCCAAGCCGGGCGGGTTCGAACTCACGGACCGCGAGATCGTGACCTGGCTGAAGTCGGGCGCTTAACCGACTGCGCCACCCAGGCGCCCCTAGATTCTACTTCTAAACCATTATTACGCTTGGATTTCAATAAAATTTAAAAATTAAAATAAGTTGCAAAATAGCGCTCTAGAACCTAAGGGACTTTTTTTTTTTCTACATTGGCCAAAATAATGGTGGGGCTGGGGAAGGGAGATTTGCTAATCAGCCTGTAGTTAAAAGGTTTTCAATAATATCTCTTATAGTTGTGAATTGTAAAAACCTGCCCTTGAAGGTGGCAGAGGTGGCTGAGAGCAGTGACGGGACATCGGAGGATGACGGAAGCGAGAGTGAATGAGCAGAGTCAGACCCAGAAGGGTGGCCGGAACCGCACAGAGATGGACACACCGTGTGGCAGGGATTTCAGAAAACAAGCCGTCACGGCCAACCTGTCCTTGACTCAAGGATAAATTAGGACCTAGTGTCATCCTGTGCACTGGGATTGGTATTGGCGAGAGATGGGCTGCAGGGGCTCTGGGGGAGGGGGGGCGGGCACTGCTGTCACTTGGGCCCAGCCTCCTCCTGAGCCATCCATCCCACACTGGTCACACGCAGCCCGTCCTAACACTCGCCTTGAATGATGGGGAGCACGGTGTGCATTTGAGGGATGAATTGTACTTTCTGGAGCTAGTCTGTTTGCGTTTTCGTGTAGACCTGTTTGGTACATTGCTAAAAACCTGGTGTCCTGCATAGAAATTGAGGTTTCCAGCTTACGAAGTCATGCTCAGCACTGCCTAACAGAGCTTTCAGCCGTGAGCTAGGTGGGATTCAGCAAAACTCGGAGTGAAGCTCTAGGATAGACCAAGGGTAAAAGCGGGGTGGCCTCGGCAACTCCCAGCCGGACCTAGGGCTTTCTAAAGGAAAAGCTACGGCTTCTGAAGAACCACCTGGGCTGCAGAGTCCTGGGCGAATGGGACAGAGGTTTGTCTCTAGTGGAATCTGGAAAGGACCTGTGGGGCCTTAGAGGTGACCCTCAGGACAGCTGGGTGTGAGGAGCCAGGACATTCACGATGCCATCCTGGGGTGGGGTTGCGGCCTGCAGGGTTGCGAGGTTCCCGGAGGAAGGTGTCCTGTCACCACCTGACTGTGGGGGCGCCCCGAGCCTGATGCCCGCGCCAACTGGGAGAGTTAGAAAGGAACAGAATGTGAGCCCCACGCACGGCTTTGCTGTGCCTCGAAGCAGGAAAGAAAAGGGACAGAACATGACTGTTGTGACTGTCCCCAAGATTTTTATTCTTAGTGTACGTCAGAAAGCACAGGTGTCCGCGTTTGTGTTTGTCCCAGGTACATAAGCCACCTCTGGAACGATAGGTAAACTCTGTCATCAGGCTGTCCCGTGAGTAGGTTTGGATCACACTCTGGCTCTCAGTTTCCTCATCTGTAAAATAAGACATTCTGCTCATGGTGTGACCTGCCCTTGCTTCGGGCGTTGCCCCAGCACGCTGCCAGGCAGGGGCCTCTGTTCCGTGCAGCGCCTCGGTGATGGAGGTCAGACCCCTGCCCGCTGCGGGGAGCGCACCCTTGCTGCTGCCGTGACTCCCGTGGGTTGACCGGCAGGTGTCACGTGGACACATGGGGTACAGTGGTGATTGTCCTTTTTCTTCACTAAATTGTGCAGGCTCTTCAGGAAGTAGGAAGTCCTGGTCTTTGCTGGCAAAGGTTTTGTAATGTCCTCAGCAGGTGTCTGTTTCTGTAAATAGAACTTTTGCTCCCACTGGGGGAGCCTTTGGACTGGTGGCCGGGCCTCCTGAGCTGCACTGGCTTTTCTTGTGATTGTTGGCCACCCGCCGTTGATGCTCGCTTATAATCACTCTCTTTTGTAAAACGTAGCCCATAATAAGAGCAAGTAAGAGAGGTGCATAAATGGAGGGGGGTGGGTTCTGGTTCTCTCGTGTCGTTCACAGACAGCCAAAGGGAAATGGTGGGGGGCAGGGCTGTAGGTTTCAATCTTGCCTTCTTTTTTCAGACATTGAAATGTACTACCTGAAGTCCTGGATAACATTCTGTAGGATGTAGGCACCGACTTGTGAAGTGTAAACAATGACCAGTTGTTTTTGTTCTATTAATACATATGGATTTCATGTTTGGGGAAGATTTCCAAAATGCAAAGTGAAAGTGCTTTTGTCTCTATGCTTCTAAAATTGCTCTCATACTTAGTCGTGGTGTGAATATTTTTTGTAGTATATCAATAAAATTTCAGCGTTTTCACAGAAATGCCATTTTACGTTTTTTTAGACAGTGTTTTCCCTGAGTGCCGAATGCAAACTAGAATTTTCTTCATCACCCTTTCTGGTTTGACCAGAGTGTCTGTGAGGGCTGAGGCGGGGCCTGTCCTGGGCACCAGGCTGCGGATGGTTCCGGATGGTCCGTCTTGCAGTGGGGGCCTTGACATTCAGCCTGGGATAGACCTGCCTCGGACACGGGGGTGCGGTACTTCTGGGAGCGGCGAGGGTGGGCAGTAAAACATCCGTACTTCAGTGTGTTAAAAATCTGTTTCGGTCAGAGCAAAACGTGTGTGTATTTTTACACACCTTATTGGTCCCTGGTTTAAAGAGTGCCCTTTATCTAAGTAGGTGTGATGTGCCTCCCCCCCGCTGAAGCGTCACAGTCGTAAGGTGGTAGTTTTCACTGAGCCCTTGGCTGGCCTCCAGCCTTCAGTTAGGTTGCATCTTCACTCCTAACTTCGGCAAACGCCTGTCTGTTCTCTCTAGAACCCCCACCCAGAGAACTGAGGCTATGGAAACATAACAGCGTTATGAACACCTGAATACGTGTTTTTTTTGTTTGTTTTGTTTTTTTCTTGAGGAAGACACCAGGTAGAAATAACCACAAATACCGCTTACACAAATAAATCCGTCGCAGCTTGGACTTGGCTCCGGGAGGCCGGGCTTGCTACTCTGGAGCTTCCTCTGGCGGCACGACCTCCATCAGCATCTGAAGGTGCATGGTGACGGGCTCTGGAGCAAAAGCCAGTCAACAAGTGCAGTCAGAGGGGCGCAGAAATCTGGCTCCCGCCCCCTGGGGCCGTGTCCTCTGTTCGAGCTGCGCTCAGGGGTCAGGGGCCCGAGGGGCTCAGAACCATCCTGGGAGCCACAGTGGCTCTGTGGAGGTAAGTTACTTCCCGGAAAAGCATTGGGAACCTGCTATTTTATTGCCACCAAACACCGTCCTCTACAGGGAAGATCTGCAGGACTCGTGTGTACATATTTAACTACCACTGACCAAGAGTTGAATATGTGGCTGGGAGGCACCGGGCCTGCATCTTGCCTAAAATCCAGATAGTTTCTTCTTTCCACCTCCTCAAGCCCAGCTTCCTACCAGTTTTTGCAGGGAGCGGGTGGACTAAGTTTTCTAAAGCTCAGAGGTAAGCCCTGCTTTGTCCCTGTAGGTTGTAAGTCGTCCTGGCTAGATTCTCTGTCGGGACGATCAGATCTGAATTCATGCTCCGAGGCCTGGGGAAAACGGCTGTCCTCCCAGTAACCACCGGACTTTCCTGTCTCTAGTCGTGTGCCTGCAGCCCTCTCTCAGCTTCGGGCTTCGATCAGAGGAAAGAGGTTGTGCGGTGGGGAGAGCTGCTTCCGGAAAGGAAAATGTCCCCGGTAGAAACAATAAAGCCGAATTTTGGGTTTGGTTTCACTTTGTTAACATGAAACAGATTCGCTCTTGCTGTAACACCTATGTCAGGTTTCCCAGGTGAGGCAGTGCCCGGGCTGGGGAGCGGCCCCTGGAAAGTCCAGGGTCAACCTCACCGCCTTGCAGTTGGGTTTTGCTTTCGTACCTCGTACGTCTCCCTGAGTCGCACGTACGGAAGTAAAACCAGATAGGAGTGCCTGCAGGGACGGCTGTGCTTCCCTGCTTTCCTGCTCGGACAAGCTGAGGGAGAAGGGGCCTGTTTTCGTCACATCTACTCTATGGATACTAGGTGGCTGTTGCATAGACCCGGAGTGAAACTGCACAGCCCAATTCCCGCCTTCTAGAAACAGTACAGGGAGCGGGGGACCGAGAAAGGGCTGTCAGAGGTAGAGGACCCTTGACAGGCGAGGGTGCTGGGGGCTGGCTCCCTGTGGTTGAATCTGCAGCACAGGATGTGACGCTGTGAGTGTCCCCCCCCCCCCCCCCCCCCAGGTGTGCTGTACGCAGAGGCCCCTTGATGTACTTGGTACCACGACTTTGTTTTTCCAAGGTGAAAGTGGTTAACGTAGCTACGCTTCCTAACAATTGCCCTAAAGCAGCTGAGGGGCCAGGATGGCTGAGTGGTGAGAGCTGTGGCTCCGGCATTGGAAGGCTCAGGCCCTCATCCCGACTCTGTCACGTTCTGGGTGTCTCGGGGGTGCTGCTGAGCCTCAGATGGTGTCTGTGTATCAGACGAAAGAAAGTGGGGCTCTGGAGGTTGGATGCACAACGATGTGAATACACTTATCCGTACTGAAGCCTACACTTAAAAACCGTTAGGATGGTCAGTGTTATGTGTACTTTACGGTGGAAAATCAGAAAAGCAGATGGTGATGTCCCTTCCTGTTAGCAGTAATTGAAGGGGACAAGGGACGAGGCCACGGGTGGACCCCAGAGGTGTCACACTGAGAGGATGAAATTTGCTAGCTGCCTGAGATCCTGCGATAAGAAAGTCGGTAGGACCAGGACAGGTGAGGTGCGGGACGCTGTGCCTGCCTGCGCCTCGCCAACAGCACGACAGTCCCCGTGTTGGTACTTACTTAAGATTTTCTGAGCCCATCCAAACTTATAGTGGACAAAAAGGAAGTAAAATATAAGGCCGCTCAGTATAAATAACACACAGTAGAGATATTCCCACGCGGGTTCGCTGATGATTGGGGCCAAAACCAAAAACACGGAGACGAGAGTCACCAAGATGGGGATGAAAATGGGCACCTGCAGGCGAGACAACATGGAGTCATGATTTGACCACGTGCACTCCTGTCCTTCCCGAAAGTTTTCATTCAAAACAAAACACTGAGTGGGAAAGAATGTGATGAACTCTGTGTGCCCCTCCTCCAATTTCAGTAATTTTAATTCCTCCCCCTCCC